CCGTGAAGCCGATTCATCCAACAACAGGAGCTAATCGGAACAAGTACAAGTAAGTAAGTACATCTGCGCTTTGTCCTCTTTGCAGCGTCATCAATCAGGGTTGCACGAATTAGCCATCAAGTCCTCGCCGTACATAAAAGAGCCATCTCGTTCGCCGAGCAAGAAAGGCGTGGTGGACTTGTTGCATTTTTGACCAAACATCCATTTATATGTCGAGATTGTGGCAGTCGGAGCATAAGCAGCATCGATCAAATTCATGTGGTGTATCTCGTCTGTAATCATTAGCCATTCCTCCCATTCCTATGGACGGGTTCTCATGATAAAGCCGGATTCACTGTGCGCCTATGCAAAGCTGACGCGTATCAAGCAATCGATTAACAGAGGGCTTTATACGGCCTAAAAGAGGCATGAGTGAAAAGCCGTGCTGGCGACACAGAAGAAACTACCCCAAAAGGTCTAGAGTTTGTTGACGTACCAACCATGCTAGCGATCATTCATACAGCCCGCTACTCAATTGCACTGAGATGTTGGCCATATCACCATATTTGGCCGCCTGCACAGGCCCAAATGAATAAGTAACGGGTTCAGAAGAAGAAGAAGACGCGGCCGCTGGGACAAGACATTTACTTGCCTAACGTTTCGGAACCCGTCGCGGAACGAAGAAACGCAATTTAGTGGGTTATTGCACAGTGTCAGTACTTATCCCGAATCAGCTATTTGTAGTTTTCCTATAAATTATCGCCTTCGAATGAAAACGAACTTACTCTGAACACCGTCTTACTATTCAAATGCACCATGCATTCATACGGCTATCTGTTTATCTTTTCATTCAGGTTAGTGATATGCAGAATTTCGGACGAATTAAAATAGTCGTGGCTGGCGACTCTGGTGTCGGCAAGACAGCCTTTGTCCATTTGCTCAGCCAAAAAGAGGCCCTTCTAAATCCCTCCTGGACAGTGGGTTGTAGTGTTGAAATTATGGTAAGTTTTCTCCTTCTATCAAGAACTCCTCAACTTGCAGCTGTACGATGGCCCGCCCGCGGTTGATGAGCAAAAATACTTTATCGAACTCTGGGACATCGGCGGCTCGGCTGGTCATAAGAATGCACGTTACGTCTTCTACGACAACATCCAAGGCATAATTCTGGCCCATGACCTCACCAACAAGAAATCAGAACTCAATTTGTCCAAGTGGCTGAACGAACTCACTGTTACAGATTCGTAAGTGGGTTCTTTCCTCCTCTCACCCACACTCCTTTCCTTGTCAAAAGTCCTTAACCGCATGGGCCTATCACATGGGGTTAAGTTAATAGAGAAAACCCTAGCAGCTGCGATCTTCAGGCCCGGTTCCGTATGGGAAGGAGAAGAAGTGGGAGGCTAGAGTGATATGACCAGTTTGTTCTGTACAGAAGGTTGTGAGAATAGGCAGGAGGAATTTGACTATCAGACGAGCGAGCAACCGCACGCCAGCGGTCCGCGTCTGAAGTGTCAGCCTGGTAGTCGTCCCTGCAGTCAGGGTGATCTCTGTCTCAGTCAGCCTTGAGGGTGATTGGCTGGTTTGGAGAGGCAAGCACACATGTGATCGAGAAGAAGACGACTCGATCGCTGGGACAATACTGTTATTCGCCTGACGTTTCGAAATCCGTCGCGGATTCATCGTCAGGGACATTAGCAGCAAACAGAAAAAAACACCTGTTATTGGCTGTCCCAGAGGCCGACAACAGTGTGCATTCACGCGTGGGCGTCCGCGTGGAGTGAGTCACTATAAGTGCTTCTCTGAGAGGAACCAAGTAAGTAGTCAGATGGTAGGACTGGTTGTCACTAATTGACCTTTGCTCGTGAAGTCTGCACTTGTTTAAACCCTACGTGATCTCGGATGTGCTGACGGCAACTTGTAGACAATAAGGTACCGCCCCAGAGGCAGATGCGATCGCTGAGCCAAGACGTCTATTGGCCTAACAGGAGCTGTGAATTGCTTGAGTCACGATTCTCGGGCCCGCAGTCCATCAACAAGTGTAATGATCTGATCCAATATTCTGTAATGAGACTTTGCCTGAGCAGGAGAATTAGTCACATCGAGAGGGCGCGTGCGGCCAACACTTTGTCTGACAGTGAGCCAAATTGCTGCGTGCCGACATTCACCACGGGTGATGATAATGAAATCATCAGCTGTTATTTGTAGTAAGCGGATGGTGTCGCGTGGCCACCGTACGGACTAAAGGTACTGCGCACCTTGTGCCTCTATGTTATCATCATCTGCGATTGTCTCTGATGATGCGTTCGAGCGAGAATCCGAAACGTCAGACCCCTTTCAGCTTCTTGTTCCAGTGCTTGCATCTCCTCCTTCTGAATTAATTCCTAGAACTCGCCTGTTTCTCTTTTATTAGCTCGTCCGCGCCTCGTTTGGCTTCATGCATTTTTGCCTTTAGGCCATGTTCTGTTGTCAATCCGTCTGTGTCCTGCGGCTGTATATTTTAGTTTCCGTAGGAGCTTGTCTCTCAGCTGACCTCTCCCCTATCACCAATTTCAGTCTCGAAGTTATTTGCCACTCTGTGGATGGCTGCGCCTCTCCAGAGACAACAGCAAACGGCAAAACCGCCAAAACCTATTCTGCCTTTGACATCCGCGGCTTCTGGAGAGACAGCACCCCGCCACCGGTCTCTGTGCCTCCTGCTGTTCCCATCCTTGTAGTCGGCACGAAGTTGGATCTAGCTGGAGAACTCCACAACACCACAGCTGTTCCCCCCGTTGTTAGGACTGCCACAGTGCGCCAGTCCTCCTTGCCTCCTCATGCCGAGGCCTTTGGCGGTCTAAGCCAGAGGAGTGTAGTCAACAGACAGCAAACGAACCCTACCACTTTTAACTCAAGTGCCGCCTACCGGTCTGCCCCCATCTACCGTCCAGGTAGTTTTGCCGCGCAGAGGGGCTTTCGGGAAATCCTGCTTGTACGTTTTTGTACGCTTGTTACAGTCTCTTGCTTAATTTTATGCTCCTTTTGTACTCAAGCCAACTCTGTGAAGGTCAAAGTGCTGCGCTCCCATGACTGAGACAGACCAGCAAAGAACGCTTAGGCGAACCTACTCAGGCTAAAACACGTCGCTCTATCGCGTTGTAACTAGTTAGTGTATTGCATAAATGAAATGAGATCAGACCGGACTTACGCTACATAGCAGACGGAACAAACATATGCAAATGACATGGTGCACTATTCATTTAGAGCAGTTTCCTGGAAGTACCGACCCTCGCGGACGACGATGTCCGTCGCGTGCCCCACAGTAAGACCGTGACTTGAGCGTGAATTAGGTTTTAGTGATAGCAGACTTGCAAAGCATATGCCGCGCTCCCTCCTCCCTCCGCTCACTCATCTAGACTCGGAGGCGGACCCGGGCGCAGATGGCTGACAAAGCCTAGCCGCCTGTCTGTGCATTCTACACACACGCACTATCTGCTCGCGTTAGAAAGTAGCAAGCTAGCACAGAGAAGGGGGGCTTGGATCTCACAGGCCTTAGGATGCTATAGAGGCCACATTCAGAAGAAAAAGAAAAAGAAGAGGAAGTTATTGAGCCTCACTGCCAGTTCATATTAGTTCCGGGACTTAGTCACTCGGCGGCTGTCCAAGCCACGTCTTTTAACGCATCCCGACAGGTTACCATGCGTCAGGTTTATTATTAGTGAAAAAGGCAGTGAAGTGCTTTGGGGATGGATTCTCAAGAGTTGATCGCTCTTTCTGTCTTCTCTGTCCCGTGCACCCGTCTGTGTGAGTCCGCGCGCCCAGCGCCACTGCGGTGACTCCTGCTGTCTTTGTTCGTCAAGCCTTGAGCGTTGCGCGCACTTGCCCTTTCTCACGCTCGCTGTCGACTCGCCGCGCGTACACTCGAAGCTAATCGATACTCCCGCTTCATTTTATTGGCTGCAGACCACAGAGCATTCATCCCGCAGTCAAGGCTTCACAACAAACACAACTTCACGGACTCACCTCACGTGCAGGCATAGTCGGCAACTGGCGAGTGACGCAACCTTTCTACAGGTCATTTTCCCGCAGTAAAGTTGTTCCAGTTTCTTCCGTCTGCCCTGACTTGTTATTTGGGGAACCTTCTGTTGTCGACACAACACATTTCGACAAGTCCACTGCTTTGGCCTGCTAACCGTTTAGTGCTGGGACAGGGTGCAGTGGATGGCGCGACGTGAAGCCTACAGTAGACGCCGTTGATCATGCAATATTTCGACATATGCGAAAGACT